ATAGCAGTAGATAGAAATTTGGGGGGGGGGGGAATTGTTTCTCTAGAAAATCATATTTAAATAGGACAAAGCGAAGAAGAAGAAGTAGAACATTATGACATAACTCAACTGGCCGAGCTATTTCTGTGCTATTAAAACTATACTAAATATCTACCCTACCTATATTAATTGATATGTCCAGATCTAGCGTATGATTCAAATGAGGAACAAACCACAAGCCAAGTACATTCGCCTTAGTAAGTTTAAATAAACGTTCATAGCGATCTACTAACATTATAACGCATAATTTTTTCTCTATTGTAAGCAAACCAAACGGCGTGGCCGGATTTAAATTTGAAGTCGACGATTTCGGTGTCTACCGTTGTTTCAAATCTGAGATAGAAATTGCAGATCCTGATATACCAGTTATAAAAGAACAAGTCTTGGACCTTCTTGCCACTGGGTAAGTCCATTCGTTATTGTCGTTTAGACGATGAGATTATTAGCTAAATGTTTGTGTTTAAACTGTTAAAAAATACATTTTTTTTTTGTTGAAAAAATTGCATCTTTAAAAGTGCACAAGTCTTTGCAGTGGACAACCTTACACGTACTAAATTAGGCAATTTGTTCAAATAAATCTAAAACCACGCGATAACCTTTGGACAAAAATTGTTTTAAATCCTAATAAATCTTTGTATTTTTTTTTTTTTTTGTAGTTTTGGCGAATCAACCGGGGAGACTCAAGGTATTATTATTGAAGATGTTAATTTGACAACGTCAGCTGAATTTGGGGAGATATCTGATTTGACTATTTCCAATCCAGAGGATCTGTGTACAGGGTAAATATATATGACTACGTTAATGTATCTGCATACAAATTATCCAACAACATGGCTCCACGGTTACCGAGTGATAAATTATAAATAATTAATGCAAATTTAAACACTAGCGGTTGATTCGAATTTGAAAAAAGCTTATTCAAAGCCATAATAAGAATTTTCTGATAACAGGATGTGATTATATATATATGGAAAATTTAATAACTCTTTTGTCATCTTTAAAAAAAAAAAAAACACTATTCATAACTATTGTTCGCTCAACAATGTCACACTATTACTAGGGCTTATAAAATGTATAAATTATATTTTAATCAAAACTTTCTTTAATCCTAATGTTTATATAATTGCACTAATCGACCATTGACTAGATGGGGTTTCGTTAAACGTAATTTTAGGAATTTCCACTATATGTATGTTTTGAAAATGTTATATTTTACTTTATTAGGCCAAGTGGCGCGGCCTTACATACATTTGAAGTCGATGATTTCGATGATTACCGTTGTACAAAATCAGAGTTAGAAATTCAGGATCACGCTTTACCAATTATTGACGATGAAGACGTGGACCTTCTTTTTACTGGGTAAGACACATATGTATTACTCTGGTTTTTGTTTGTCACATGCAATGTATTAAAACATAGACGTTGTGGTTTGAAAATGGTAAAACAGTGCACGTTAAAGAATGTTTTGTTCGCACGAATTAAAAAAAAAAATGACCATCACAATTTTATCGTTTTAGCAACATCGAAAACCCATCAACGTCCACTCAGGAATCCACACATCGTCTCTCACAATTGGCACCGTCTGAAGAACACAGAGAATCGTTTCCCGAAAAGTCCAAGAGGATTTTTCAATGTGGTTTGTGTTTAAAAACATTTACACGGTCTGGAAATCTCAAGAGACACAAAATGGCACACACTGGCGAAAAGCCTTTTGGCTGTGACGTGTGCCTTAAGACGTTTTCGCGGTCTTACAATCTTAAAGAGCATCAAAGGATACACACAAAAGAGAGTCCTTTTAAGTGTGAACTGTGTTCGAAGACGTTCACACGATCTGGAACACTTAAGATCCACAAAACGACACACACGGGGTCAGGCGGCCAAAGGCTTTACCAGTGTGACGTGTGCCTGAAGGTTTTTTTACGATTTTATCTTAAAAGACACAAAATGACACACAAACGCGAGTGGCCTTAAATATGCACGTTCGGACACACGTCGCTATTTAACGCGTTTATTTATAACTTTTGCCAATTGATAAAAAAACCATATTTAAATTGCCAATATCATTTATGTACTATAAACGTATGTAGTGTCAAAGTATATGAACCTTGAGAAATGTGTAAATTTACCTGTGTTACATGTTAAACATAATGTTCTACATTTTATGATTATTTTCTTGTACAATATATGTTATACATTATCACCATGATTCTGTTTTATAAATTTTCTTATTTATATAATATTTATTCACATACCGCTGAAATTATTATGTATTGTTAACTTTAATCGAATATTTTATGTGCAGTATATTTTTTGTCGTTTTATTTAACGCGTACAATATACAAATTACAATGAGTCATTTGTCATGCATACTAGCAAGCTTGTGTCGAAGGTAGAGAGTTATGATTTACTTGAAATACAAATAGGTACACAACTAGTTTAAGCGGTATTATAACAATAACATTTTTCTGAGATTATGGTTACCATTAGCTAATATTTATATAAATGTCCTCAAGTCCTTAATTACCAGTTATTAATTGCTATTTTCTCATTGATACATCAGATCCTCCAACAGTAGTTTTCTGTATATCGGTTTTTAAGGGGTTTTGTATAGGCAATATTATCACAGTCATGAAGCCTCACCTTAAGAGGGCGTCGCACCGCCCATTTTTAAGGAGTAAAGTATAGGCAATTTTTTACAAAATCTTAATTACAAGGGTAAACTGTGACGTGTAATTATTAGTTCAATAACTAGGACTCTGTTTTGGTAGTTAATTTATTTTTTCGACTATCACGGCATCCTTGAAAGCGGTTTAAAAATGTTTTTTCATCTCAACTTGTTTAAGCAGACTTAAGTATAACGCTCGATACATAGTTTAGAAATAACGACTGTTTTAATATTTTTAATTGACTCTAAACTTTCCAAAAAATAAATTTTTTTTTTAAAAACGCACCGTCTTGGCCTCCGCAATATTGTTTTCTTTTAATTTTATAATGGGTGCTTTCACTCTAAAACCAAAATCAAGCGAGTTATTTTCAGTCTGCTTAAACATGTTTTTACCACTGAAAATCACCGGTGCGACGCCCTCTCAAGGGAATTGATAGCGGTCGGGTTTAAGGGGTTTTGTATAGGCAATATTTACACAGTCATGAAGCCCCACCTTAACAACAATAATAATAATAATACCAAATAACGTTATTGTTGAACTATGTTAAATTTGATAAAATTAACAATATTATTTCCAAGTAACGAGTTGCACTTGAATGGTAAAAAGCTGTATTCCATTACAAAGTGGCCTTTTTTTTTTTTTTACAAATAAATGAAATTAAAATTCACTCGTGTAGCAATGACATTTCGAGTTGCTCCAACTGTCTGAACATTTTAATGATAAACAGAGTAAAATACTTAGGTCTAATCATAGATACTATGACTTGGACTGGAGTGCTCATATTGATAGTCTTGTAGATCAATTATCTATGAATACAATTGTTGTAGGTCTGTCCATTCTTTTTCAGTCAAATAGTTAAAAAACAGAAACTAAACGTGACATTAGAACGTACGATATTATGTTTTGGTACACAAAGAAAGAATTTGTTAAACATTTTGTTGATTATCTAGGTACGACTATTTTTTAAATTATTTGTATATAAAAAAAATGTATTTGTAATAATTTAAGTAGAAATCGTGGCTTTCAATAAAATAAAAAAATGTGTTTGCGCATTCATTAGAAAGTTTATAATATTTACTCTATTGTTAAATTAATTATTTTATAGATTATAGATTATATGCGCATTGATAGTTTTAAAAGTCATAATTATCTAAATTATTAAAAAAATGTTATATTTACTATATTTCTCTTTATACCCAATTTTTTTGAACTCGTTTACAAAAAATGAAATATTGTACTTTGTATATTGTAGTATATATCAATGATTTATAGCAATAAAAAATAATAAAAAAAAATTTACAAAAAAAAATGTTATTTCATTATGAAAATTAAATGTATTATGATGAAAAAAATAATAGTATGTTAATAACTATTCATAAGGTACCCCATTAAACTTATCTGATGGAAATCGACTAAAACACTTTATGTTTCTCCTAATGTGGAAACTTCCACATAAGTATGCAACAGAGAACTCTTATGTGACACATAAATTGATTATGCATACGGTCATTGATGGACTTAAAGTGTACAACTTAAATTTTTTCTTTACGATTGACATTATCATACGTATTTACTTGCCTATTTTTTTACTTAACAACAACCTTATCTAACTTTGTAAATGTGTACAGTAATTTTCATAATTTAATAATTACATATTATCTATATATATGTTTTTCAATTAAAACCATAAACTATATTTCTTTCCCAGGTTTGTTTTAATTTCAATAGAAAAAACAATACTCTTAGTCAAAACAAACCTGGGTATTTGTTTTATTTAAATAACAGCTGCTGCTGTAAATAACGAATAGTTATTTGAAAATTACTGTTTGTTATTTAAAATACATATTTTGTGTTTAATTTTTTAAAAGAATAAATTACTTTAAATAATTCTATTGTTTATAATATTATAATATAAGGTCGAGTAGGGCAGTTGTAAACAAATGAGGCAATGTGTAATTGATATTTTTCCATTATTAACGCAACGCAATACTTTTAATTAAAAGATGCCAATTATAATACATAAGTAACACATATTGTTCCATTCGTTTACGATTACCTCACCCATTAACATACATTTTAAATACAAATTTTAATGATTTTTATTACTCCCCAACTTTTATTTTAACAACAGCTATTGATTGTTATAATTATTATTTTAAATTTAACAAAAACTTATTTAAGTTTGTTAAAATAAATACATTTGACATTTGATTATTTGGATACTTGTTAAAATATACAATTGTTATTTTTATTTTCATTAATAGCTTATTATATTAATTTTTTTTTTAACAAATGCCCAGGTCAAGTGATCTAAGAATAAAAGTCCGTGATGTCATAGTTTTGTATACTTAACGGCACAAACTCGTCTAGATAAGTGTTTAAAAAAAAAAAAAAATTGGCAAGTCAATGCGAAATAGGAAAAATTATTTCTTAACGTCGTTAGAAAATTATCAATATATTTTATTCACGCGTTATGTAAATGAGATAACAAAATTGAAATATAACAAATGTTCAAAAGATTGCAGCAAATATGTATTTAAAAGTATTCGAACAGGTCGAACGTTGAAACAATGAGATCGCGACAACTAATAACGTTAAGAACGCGGCAAAAATACGTACTGTTAAACAAATTACAACGTATAAAGTAGTTTCAAGAGGAATTTTGTTTTCTTTAAAAATAAATTACCTATATTTTATAAATAAATTATACTTAAATTTACTACGTACCATTTTGTTTTTGGAATAAGTACGTTAAGAACATTATTAAAAATAATATTTAAAAAAAAAAGAAACAACAATAATAATAAAAAAAAAAAAATCATAGGACCGTGTACAGTCGGTTTAACCGTTTTTCTCGTAAGTCGTTGACGAATTTGTCGGCTTTGGCACTCATGCTGTTTGGCGTTTTGTAGTCGTCAAACAAATGAGCGTTTCTTTGGTACATGAACACGGCGGTCAGAAAATCCCACAACGTGAAGTCCGGCCACAGCACGGGCGTAAAATAAATATAACTGTACGAACACTGAAACACAAAGGATAATAATTAGTCGAGCACACGTCGACGAAACGTGGAACCGTAGGTAGACATCCGACGTACCTGCCATATCATGAAGTCGCTAAGTCTGGTTTCTCCCGACGTGCGTATCAACAGGTCTGGCGGCGGCGACGGATATGTATACAAACACTTGTCGATCATGTCGACGCTTAAATCGGAGTAGTCCAAATGATTTTCTTTGACGCCGTTGGCTATTTGACTCATAGCGTTGGTCAGCTCGTCGTGACCTGGACGATTTTTTTAGTTTCAACAAGGTGTAACTCAACCACCATTAACAAAACTAACCTGTATAGCCAAAAGCCACGTTCAGGATCGCTTGAGTGTTGTGTCTGGTGACCAACATGGATTCGGCCATCAGTTTGGTCAAATCGTCTGGCAGTTTCGATAGATTTCCAATAATTTTTACACACACTCCGTGCTCGTTTAGTTTGTCTCTAAATCAACAGAACACATTCGGTCAGTATAAAAAGTGTACAAAGTATATTAAAATTATCACACAGTGCGCGGCGAGACGCTGTCGAATGGACGAAACGCGGTTTCAACTCGGAAAAAATAAGTCAAATACATGTGAACAGTTTATAAATTAGATTAGATTAATTTTGATCATATTATTTACTTGCTAAAGACAAATAACTTTTTTCGTAGAACAAGATCATTTTGGATAAATTGTCGATATTCCATATTGAATTATTTTACTAGGCCAATTTTTTACTTTGTTTTAATATCATTTACACCGAAACAATGGGCGATAAACGAAAAAATTGTAGGTACGGCGCTTACTTTTCTTCTAGGAGCTTCTTGAATTTTTCTCTGGTAAGATCGAACAGCGCTTCGATTTCCTCTCGGGTTCTCTTGAAGTTCTCCAAACTGAATGCGTACACAGTAACTTCTTTGATGCCCAAATGTAAACACCATTGTAAAGTTTCAGACAGTTTATCGAACCTAAACATTTGCAATCACAATATTTTTTTTGTAAAACACCTATCGTTGGCGAACTCACCCTTTCGAATGTCCTTCGCTGTTGTCCACGTTTCTCTTTTTGGCATACCGTCGGTTGCCGTCCATTATGAACGCTACGTGCTTCGGTATCGGCCCGTAAGTCAGGACGTGGCCGCAAAACCGTTGCGGCCACGTCATCGACGAGTTGTCACGGATCCAAGACATGTGGACGCTGCCTTGAACTTACCCGTATCGGTGTGGCTTGACACGACCGATCCGTTCGGATATTGCGTTTTATCTGGATAATATGACAATATCCTTTGAAAAACACATAGCTCGGCACGTGCAGCCTATTCAACAACGGTGCCGTTTTCTGTTTGTACGGCAAAGCGATGGCGGTCGACCGGCTTGAATTATTAAACGTTAAAGTTTGGTGTAGAAAAATAAATTGTAAACGAATACAAACGCTCGAATAACAATCGACTAGATATTAACGCTTGACTTTGGACGTGCCAACACACGCCTCTACACGTCGTCGAAAGCCGTTTGATAAGCGACCCGTTATCACTGTTATCGCTCGACGAGCAGTTGATAACCGACATTATTCCATGACCGCTTAGGTGTGACCGGCGCACGTCATGGAAGAAACGATCACGGTGTGCAAGGCTGTCCAAAACTAAAACAGCGACTACAAAAATATTTTAGAAAATTTTACAAGAGAGCCAGAGTTTACTAAACAACAACAGGCCTTGGTTTTTCAGCTAATATAGAAACGTTAAAAAATTATATTATAATACAATAATATGTTGATAATTATCATTTTTGTCCTTGGCTCAAAAGTCGAGACAAATAGAGGACTTGGGTTTTAGGAGGTAAATTAGACACAACAAAATAACAAAAATATAAAACACAGTATATTCCAAGTATTTCATGTTAAATTAACAAAAAAAGTTATGTAATCGAGTTGAGAATAAAAATACTAAAATAACAAAATAAAAAAAACCATGTACCTATGTATTTACCACAATATGAATAATTCCAGTTTGGTAAGTACAAAGCGTTTAGCTAATATCCTAACAGAAATTTTTTTAACTATACAAATAAAGGAAATTTCAGTTAACAATGTTGTGTGTTTTGTATACGTGTACTTGTGTTTACTTTTAATTCAATGAATACAGGGGCGTATTTATGGGGGGGCTGAGGGGGCTTCAGCCCCCCCCCCCCGAAATTCCAGGAAATTTTTTTTAAGTCTGCCTAAGCGGCATGAGCTTATACCCTTTATCTATAGGATATAAATATTGTAGAAGTTCAGTATAGTCGTTTTAAAAATAATAAATTGCTATTTATGATTTTATTTTTATAACACAACGACTGATGTTGTTATTATTATATTTTGGGCGGCTGATTTACGGGCGCCAATTGTCTTCAGTCTTGTGGCAAAGCGTAGGGATAGGAGTGATCATCGTCATATTATTTCGGTTTATTTCGCGATACATGCAGTGTACACTACTATTGTAGAGCTATTATAAATAAATACAAACAATTAAACATCAGTAGTATATTTTATATTGGGGAAAAAATGTCAACGATAAAAAAAAAAGATTGCTATAGCCTGTATACATATATACCTACTTATATCAATAACAAATCGAACTAATCGCAGATGTTATAGAAATAATAGAATAATATTTATGTTATATAAAAATAAAGCAAAAACGAAATGTTTTTATTTGTTTTTTGTATGGTATGTTAAGAATTGGGGGGTTTGGCTTGCCAAGAAATATTATCGAATTCATAGTATATTTTACTAATAACGTGTGTAGACGTGTGTACAGTGTTCTGTGTTCTGTGTTTCTGTTGTGTAAAATTAATTTTATTAAAATAATATAATGAAACGAACTCAGTCATTGTTAACTTTTTTTAAAAAATCTAAACAGTCAACCGATCTTGAACGAACTGTTCCATCTTTATCAAATGTTTTCCAAGATGAAGACACTGTCGCATCTGAAACAAAACAAGCCGCTTCAAGTGTAGAAGTTAGTTCTCCGGTAATTAAACATATTTTAGATTCTAAGTTTGATATAGGAGCTTATGTTGAGTTTAAACAAAATTTAAGTGACGAAGAAAAGGTTTCTATTTTACAAAACGTATGGACCCCTGATTGTAAGTTTGATTTTCCATATGATACTACTGGAAAATATAAACGTAAATTTCAAATTAAATGGCTTGACACTTTTAAATGGTTGGCTTATTCAAAATTAAGAGAAGGTTCTTTTTGTAAATACTGTGTATTGTTTTTTAATTCAAGTCAGGCTGGTAAGGGTTCTCATGAGCAGTTAGGCAAACTTGTTTTAAAACCCTTGACGAAATTGAAAGATGCATTGGAAGAGTTCAGAAATCACGAAAAAAATAAATATCATAAAAATTCGTTGCTTACCGCTGATAACATAAAGGCTATTTTAGATAAAAAACAAGATAATATATTGGTACAATTAAATAATAAACGAAAGGATGAAATTTTAAAAAATCGCGAAAAACTTAAACCAATTATTCAAACAGTTAGATTATGTGGCAGACAGCAAATAGCGTTAAGGGGACATGAGGATTCTGGTCGAATCTCTTTAGAAGAACCAAAAAATAACGATGGTAATTTCCGTTGTTTGCTTCGATATCGCGCAAAAAATGGTGATAACGTATTAAAAGAACATTTAGAAACTAGTGGTGGTAAATCTATGTATACAAGCTCACTTATACAAAATGAAATAATTAATGTGTTTGGGGAATTAATTCAATTAAAAATACTTGAAAAAGTATCAAAAACAAATTTTTATACAATACTAGCAGATGAAACCACTGACATATCTCAAGTTGAACAATTTTCCTTATGTATTCGTTATGTTGACGAGGAAATTTTTTCAATTCGAGAAGATTTTCTCACATTTGTTCCCGTTCATGATTTATCTGGTGAAGGATTGGCCAACACGATTAAAGAAACTTTAAAAAAAATGGGTTTGATTTAAGCAAAATACGAGGCCAAGGTTATGACGGGGCAGCAGCAATGCGTGGTCGTTTTAGAGGTGTTCAGGCAATCATTAAAGATATGTACCCAAAAGCATTATACACACACTGTGTAGCACATTCATTAAATCTTTGCTTATCAGATGCGTCTAAATCTCTAGATATTCGAAATGCTTTTGGTATAATAAGTGAATGTTGCTCATTTTTTAACTGTTCGGCAAAACGAACTACAGTCCTTAAAAATAAAATACTAGAAATTAAACCAAATTCACAATCCACTAAATTAAAATCTTTATGTGAAACTCGATGGGTATTACGCCATGAAGCAGTTATGTTTTTTAAAGAATTTTTAGAACCCATTCTTGCTGCATTAGAACAACTGCAGAATGAATGTTCTGGAACGGATTCTTCAATAAGGACTAATAGTCTTTTACATTGTATTTGTAATTTTAATTTTTTAATATCTGTTTGCGTATCTAGTAAATTATTAAGTTATACTTATAATTTATCTAAATATTTACAAAGTAAAAATATCGATCTTTTTAACGCTCTTAAACAAGTTACCCAGGTGGTTTCTGTGTTAAATACCATAAGAGAAAACGTTGATTTAAAATTTAACGGTATTTATAAAGACGCCCAAGGTATTGCTATAAAGTTAAATGTTGAACCAAAAATACCTCGAACATGCAGCAATCAAAAAAATAGAAGCAATGTCCCGTTTAATAATATTGAAGATTTTTACAAAAAAACTATTTTTATACCGTATTTGGACGATTTAATAATGGCATTAAATGAAAGATTTTTACCTCATAATGAAACTATAATTTCATTACAATTTGTCTTACCTCGTATCATAGTTGAAAAACCATTTTTTAATTTAAAAAAAGCTGTCGAATTTTATAAAAGTGATTTACCTGGGCTAAACGACATTATAGAAGCAGAGTATGAAATTTGGCAGGCTAAATGGAAAAATATTGAAGAAAACTTAAGACCTGCAACTGCTATAGAAGCTCTAAGAGCCTGTGATCGTTTAATGTACCCTAACATATTTGAATTACTAAAAATACTAGCTATAATTCCAGTATCCACCGCTACGGCTGAACGCAGCTTTTCTACTCTTAGAAGACTTAAAACATATTTAAGAAATACAACTTCTGGGTCCAGGCTAGTAGGACTAGCACTTTTATCCATTCACCGAGACATTGATTTAAATGATGATATGGTATTAGACAAATTTGCCAACAGTGGTAAAGAGAGAAATTTGAATTTAATATAATTAGTATTAATAAGTATTAATAAGAATTATAATTTCTATTTTATTATATAATATTTTGTAAGACTTGAGATTGTGTAACTAATAATAATTATATCAGAATTATAATATTACAATTTTACACTTAATTTCGAAGTCTTGTTTTTAATAGGTTGAGAAATGGGTAAGTTTGGCCAAATTTTTAAAGTTTATTTCTGGATCAGAATTTAGAAATAACTCTTTACACAGCTCTTTTACTCAATGCCTCAGCCCCCCCCCCAAAAAAAATATCTAAATACGCCCCTGAATGAATAGGTAGGTATAGTTGTTTCAATGACTTAGGGAGAGTAAAAAATCATTTTTAAGACACATCGAGTGAATCGCTTTTTGTTAAAAGGGCACATGTTTCAACAGGTGAACTTTTGGGAAATGATAAAAAACTGCATAACTTTCAAAATGTTGTAACTTTGTAAATACTTTGTATTATGTGTATTAGGACGTGCATGGTACTCGACATTTATACCAAATCTCGATACTGTAAAAATATTGAATTCAAGTTTATACTAGTTGAAAGTTGCAAAAAGAAATTAACAAAAAATGTAACACATGCCCTTTTAACAAAAAGCGATTCAATTTCAAGTAATGTTTATTTTTTTTTTTTTTTAATTTTAAACCAATACTCAACAACCTGATAACTGATATATTCATAGTAGTATATAATATATATTATTATAGTCAAAATAATTTGTTGTCTTACTGTTTAAAAATAGTTGATTATATTTCTGTCATATTCATGTTCCGGTTGAACGTTTTGTCTTGGCTATGTTAGATGAGTAAAATGTAATTAATTTCCATCAATAAGACATACTACCTATACGACTAATAATATTGATTTACCTGTATTGCATGCTATGTACAGATAAGCAATAAAAACGGTGTCATATGGTCACTCAATCTAATTACCTGTAATTTTATCAATTTCTAATGTTAAAGGGATTGGAGACGATCATACGTTGTCTTAGCATTTTCTCAACTGGGTCAATAATTTCTACCCTATTCGTTATAACGATTAAAAAAAAAGACTATTATGAGTTTAACAAAATATAGTTCTAACATGTATCTATAACATGTGTGTAAAAAATATAATCTGTAGTCAACATTATTTTTTATTATAAAACAAATTCAAAAGTGACTTAAACACTATCAACGTGAATTCGACCATTTCAAAATTACATTCTATGTAAACTTGTTTGGCGTATTTC